TGGGAATATTATCTCTCGCAAACAGGTCATATGACTTCATTCGAATCAACTCATTTCGAGTATCGTACCCTTCTCAGTAACCTGAAGTTTATTTATTCTTTCAGCCATTTTTCATGAAATACACAATTTTCACCTCTCTATCATATAACTGAAACTATAACGAACTGACATCAGACAATAATTTGTTGACATTCAACGATGAAAGCTTGTTATTTTTATAAAATTCGGATCACAGATTCTTGATCGAGTTTTCTCAATTTAGAATTGCATGTATGATGAATATCAATGTGTCATAAATCCAAAACCAATCTAATTATACATTATTTGAAGAAGATTGAATTTGCCACAATGTGAGTAATGAGTATAACGGCAAGTTCTCGAGACACAGCATTTCAAATATGTCTACTTATTGAAGATAATGGATGAGGCCGAAACGGGTGTTTTTAGAGTTGTTTTCATATTCCATAGATACACTGTACAGGGCACACCAATAATTCCTTCGCCAATTCATAGAATTTTATCCTTCGCAAGGCCTTCAGCAAGTAATGGAACAAATTCGACTTCCACCATTCCGTAGATTTGCATGATATAGCAGCTAGGGTAATATCCACGTTGAGTTGGTCCACTTCAGAAGTTTCCATAAGATCACCAAGGATAATAAAAAGTACCTCCGTTATTTTATGAAATATGCTCATTCGCCAAATTTTAAAAGTTCACCAATTTTTTCGCCTTCGCCATTTCATAGATCGGTTCTCTCGCCACAACAATTAATTACTTTATCTACTCACTGCATAGAAAGTAAGTGTTTGCTTTTGCATTTGAGGACCCAAACCTGTCAAGTTACTCCCACGGGAGTAAACAGAATTTTACCTCCCGAGGGAGGTGAAATAAATCGGCTTCAGCTTGCTTTCTTGGTACAGATGTATGAGATCTGTGCTACTCACGTACCTAATCAGTGTCTCCTTCACTACTATAAAACAAATAACAATTTCCTTCCCAAACTCCAATACACTCATACACTTCCTCATTTTCCATACTCACTCAATCGAAAGTCGAAACTTTGAATACAATGCGATTATACAATAGAAAAATTCAGAATGACAGAAGTGTCAAATTGATTTATGTTCAGATTCAGATATGCTGTCAATAATTGTCCATGGCATACTCTGTAACCTCAGATCGTGTAACCATGTGTAACACATTAATTTGGATCAAGACTCGAAAGATAGACCGCTCGCAGCACAATTTTAAGATCGACGCTCTCAAATATATGCGTTCGTGGATAAAATCATATATATATCTTGGGAGCAAAGGTTCATTTCCTCCCATGTGTGTTAAATGTGTTGATCAAACTTCACACGTGGGAGGAAATGGATACCCTTGCTCCCTTGATATACAGGGTGGGTCACGGTGGATGGCCTATTAGAAGTATCTGGAGAACGAAAAGACAGAACATTCTGATAATTGGGATGCATCGATAATCGAACATTCTCTATTCGTCTAGAATGTTCATATCGATACAGTGTTGCCACTTCTATCGGAAACAACTATCAACTTTTTTATTTCAAATGGAAACACTCTGTCTTTTATTGGATTTTTAGATTCTTCCTGAAGAGCTGATTTCATCGATGTATCATACTTGGAGTCCAGCAGAAATGATTACAGAGATATAGGGTATTCAAAATGTAGATTTTTTAATTTCAGGATTTTTACATTTCGAAACTATTCATTATTGATGAAAACGCCTTACATGTTCCATTTCAATTTTTAATTCACTATCTACTGGAATTTGATTGGAAGAAATACAGGGTGCTTCATGATTCAGAATTCTGATCACCCTGTATCTATTCCAATCAAATGTCAGTAGATAGTTGATCAAAAGTTGAGATGGGGACATGTGAGTTTTGATCGATAATGAATAGTTTCGACACAAAAAAATCCCAAAATTGAGAAATCTCGATTTTGATCACCCTATATCTCTGTAATCATTCCTGCTAGACCCCAAGTGTGATTGATAAAATCAGCTCTCTAGGAAGAATCTGACAATGCGATAAAATACAAGGTGCTCCATTTCAAATAACGAAGTCGCTAGTTGTTTTTGATAGAAGTGGGAACACTGTATCGATGAAAATATTTTAGACGCATAGAGAATGTTCAATTATCGGAGCATCCAAATTTTCAGAATGTTCTGTCTCTTTGTTCTCCAGATACTTCTGATAGGCCATCCACCGTGACCCACCCTGTATAAATAGCTATTGAATCTCCATTACGTCATACACCGTCGCTGGATCCAATCGAATGGAAATTGCAAACATATTTCTTGAAGACAACCACAATTCTGATGATTTGTCGCGAAACGCTGTTCGCATTATTTCAAGATATAAAACTTTCAAGTGATTAAGACATGTCCAAAACATACGAGGGGTGGTTAGATGGTTAGATTTGGGATCCTTTTGAATATTCCGAAATTTTACACAGTATCAGGAATCAAAGAAGTACCAGATTATAGCTGAAAGACTGGGCTAGCGAACAGTGTGAACCAAATTCAAATTGTTTTGAACAGAAAAAAGTTATTCACATTATAACAGGGGCAACATTTTGGGGTGCGACGAAATTATTGTTGCGTTGTTTAGTTACATAGCCATAAATGTAAATAAAGATTATCTGAGTATGTCGATGGAGAGGCCTTCTCGTGAGCCGTATCTCCTGATCCAATCTTCGAAATCCACTGCGGCATATAAATTTCGGCTGTACACTTCCGCCTACGATCCGCTCGCGAAGATGTTCAATTACCGCGAACAAGAGATCCTAATATCGCTCAAAGCAGCTGTAACGTTTTTAACGAAATCTCTTTGCAAGCGAACGTTATCGAGATTGCCATGATCAGTCGGCTCCCAGATTGCGTGGACTTCAAAATTTGGTTTCCTGAGATTATGGAGGAGTCTTATAGTAAGATGGGAACTGGAATACTCCACGAACATAAAACCTTATCACATTGATTTCACAGTAAAATGTAAAAGTTTGAAAAAAGAAAGTGCACTTGTTCGAATGGTTATTCATAAACCAAGGTTTTGAAGACTATCTGTATTACCAAAGGACCAAAAGTATAGATAGATAGATAGATAGATAGAAAGATAGATAAGCTTTATTATCTAAAATGAATACATTTTGTCGACAAGACAGGCATTAATTACAAGATATAAATGAATAAGATGGAATAGAAGAGGAATATATAAAAATAACACAGAACAAAAATATAGGGTGTCTGCAAATTGTTAGGTTATGGCTCGGCTGTGGACTCCTGGGATAAAATCAAGTTGATTCAGGCCAATCCAAAATCGTCTCGTTGAGTTGGTACAAGGCGTTGAAGTTTTTTTGGAAAAAAATAGTTTCGCTCATAAAAAGGTAGGCTGAGACCGATTTTCATAATTCTTGGCATGACATGTTCTGTGACTGTAGGTCTCGTTTTGAGATGTTCTTGATCATCATCAGTGACCTGCAAGTGTTTCAAAACAACCATGTTGCCGTACAAATTTGGTGATAATTTTTCAGAGGTCGAACTGGAAACTTCCAGTTTCTATATTCCTGAAAGATATTTCCTTCAGAAATATTTTTGATAACTGTCGAGGTTCATTTGCAAATAAATAATTTCTGATCTGAATCTAATGAATTCGATATAAACTAGTGTTCCTTCAGTTTAAATGAATCAGATCGAAAATAAATAGTGTCTTGTTCGCTTCTGCACTCGAATATCGTAACAATATGATTAATGATGAATTGATGATCTCACTATACCTCCTTGTGTTCTCATCATGATCCTGTTGATGAAGTGGTCGACATTGATATGATGATATTACTACCAATAAATTCTCATAATTTCAAAAATTGAAACTTATGAACATTTATGACATTGTCATTGGGTTTAAAAAATTGTATGATGAGTGTAACCGTAAATTTTTCTGAATTTTCTGATCGATCGAAATGAAATCACCTAACGGTTTATCATATAATTTTGTCTCATGAGAACCCCATTTTTTTTATCGCTTCAATCATGAAAACACCATGTACTAGACTTCTGAGTTTCTCTTAACCATTATGTGGAGTTTTCATTTTTTAAGTGTGATAACCCACATGATTGAGAGTTATGGGGACAGACATAGTACTTGAAAGCAACACCATGATATTAAAATGCTTCTTGCTCTCCTTTTCAGCCCAAAATTAAAGTTGTTTTGCCCATTCGAACGAACACCGTGAAACATTAAAGTCAATTCGTGTGAAGTATTTATAGATCCCTAGCTGCAAAGGAACCTTACTTATTCAGAAATAATGGAGTGTTACGACTGTTGGTACGTGCAAATGTTCAAATGAGGTAGTTTGACTACTTCATTCTGGGTATATTTCTCAGTAGCTGGAGCAAACTTTGACTTGCAATCTTTCTTTCCATCTCAAATGAAGTTGCACTATTTCATTTGTGAGATTTGTTCAGTTATCCTTGTGGAGGGGTTTTGAGATTATTATTTTTCAATAATTTTTGGTCTGTAAAGAAGTGTATTCTTACGTAATATTGAATCTCTGTATAATCTGCGACCCCGATAACTCTCAGATACCAATTGTAAATAGAATCGGAACCTAATTAAAAAACTCAAGCGCCATATTGGATCCGCCATCTTGGATTTCTCAATTTCGATAACTTGATTTTTACGAAGGAATCATAATCTCCGTCCCCGAAAACTCCCAGATACCAATTTTGCGCATCTCGGAGTATAGCTCATGGAAAGCAAGGTGACGTGGTGTGACGATGACGCAAAATCCAATGTCCTTACTTACCTAAAATTAGTGGTAACCACTCTCAGAGAAGTTTCCACTTCAAAAACTCGAAGTTTTCCTCACGATTATTATCAAAAGTTAATCTGATCTTCACTTTTTTTTTTTTTTTTATTCTACACATATTTGATTGATATAGGTCCTTCGTTGTTCTCACTACTTTTTCTTTGTTGCAGATTTATTCAGAGTAGCTGCAGAGGCAAGTCCTCGAGATATTCTGAAGCTGTACAACATTGAAGGGCAGCTACTGAATATTAGTGCTGATCTTCCCCCCAATTCACAGGTAGGACATAAATTTACTAAATTTATATGAAAGTACACTAATCTACCGCTTGCCAAATCATCAATTTATGAATACCTCAACATGTTTCGCTTCTGGTAATCATCCCAGATGATTACCCTTCCAAGAGGATAACGACAGAATCATTTATCAAATTTTAATCTAGACAAAAATTGTGAAAATGACTTCAAGTCATTGTGCACCTACACTATTGTGTCATTCTGGACATCTGTGGCAATATTTCGTTGCATTGCAGAACCTATTTTATTACGGTAATTCGTATTGCGATAGTGCAATTCTAGTAGAATTTGTTGATTTTTTCACAAAAAGACCTTGCATTCTGATTCAGTATGAATAGCCGGCATATATCGTGATTACCAGAAATATAATTTGCAGCAATCAATAATTGCGTACAATGAAAAATCGGAAACTGTGAAGCGGCTCTGGAGTCAACAAAACTAAAGCAAATAGCAAAATGAATATAAAATGCTCAAGAGGTGCTCGAAAAACATCACAAAATTGATTATCACCTAGGGTGACCAGACGGTGCTCTTTTTATAGTACAAATACAACTCTATTTCGAGGCTGCTGTACTGAAAGTCTATCTTTTTTCATTCCGGAGGTAATTATCCTCTTTTTTAAGTCCCGTTCAGACGGTTAATAGTGAACATTTCATGTTAGGAAAATAAGGAATATGAACAAACTGAAAAAAGATCAGAAAAGGAAGGAATTTGTTTCATCACTCGTAAACCGATGTCATCCGATGTGCTCTGCATGGTTCTCTCAATATATATGTTATGTTATATGTAACTCTAGAGTTGGAGGAAGTAATTGATGAATCAAGAAATGTTATCTGAAATCAACCAATCGTTATTGAGTTAAGCATGCATGAATTCATCATATGTATGAAGGTTTACCTGATTTGTACCTGTTTAGTTACTGAAATCAATGAATATGTTTATCCACGACTGCTGTATGAAATATTTATAATACATGTACTTCCTCAAGCAAAGCGGTAACTATATTTTTCACTTCAGTGAATAATAGCAGTGAATAACCATAACTCACTGGTCTAGAGTTCATAGGGTATACGCTATATAACATATAAGGAACTTAAGACCAGTGAACAATGGTTATTCACCGCTATTATTCACTAGTATGAAGAATGGCTATCGTTCTGGTTGAGAAAGTCACAGTCGTGGACATATAATTTATATAACAGGTATTTTCAATTTTTGGTTTTCTCAATGTCAAATGAGTTATGATCATCGAATGATTGCAGCATGAGCCATTCATCCTCGAGGGAAATTACAATTATTACGTGCTCGTTAAATAATAAACAATTTTCGCACGCTCGTGGAAAAATTACAATTTCGCACCTATATCCACTGCTCGCATAATCAGCCTTCTCTTTCCGTTCCAGGACAGGCCTTACACCCTTCAGGTGGTGGCCGCCAACGGCATGGCGATGCTTCGCGAGTCCACCGGGTCCGACCTCGAGGCGCTGGAGGCCAGAGTGTCGGCCATTGAGCGGCAGCTGCGCTGCGAGCTGCCTCTGCCGGCCCAGGTGCACGAGCTGCAGAAGGAGGTCGACGGCTTCAAGGAGAGGCTGGAGACCAGCGAGAGTCTGAGCTGGCTTGGTGAGTACCTGCACGACTCGGACTGTATAACTGTAGGGTCTTTCTGGAGGTGGTCAACAAACCACTTCAGCATTGCCAGCATTCAATTTATGATTATTCCAAGCAGATGATGATTCTTTTCCGATAGTTTCTGGACTTTCGTGCCTCTCAACATAGGTGATTGTATTTTCGAAATATTTGTCAAATGAAAAAACCAGTGAGAGTGGAATCCAGGAAGTATTCTTCAGTTTCATGGTATTCTTCTCACTCTACAGACATCGTTTCCTTACACAAATTTCCTTCTGGAAATACAGACAGAGTTGTATGGAGAAGACCTGCTTAGTTGCATGTTCATAAAGCACTCAAGAGCTGAAAAATTCAAAAATGAAAAGCTGAGGAGATTCATGAATCAATCTACTGCTTCAGTTTCCTGGAAACATGGATTCTATGTGGTTTTGTTCGATTCGGTTTCAGGGCCATCCATTGGTGAATCACAAATAACTGGATTAGGCATAAGTAATAGCATCAGTTCAGATTGCAGAGTCATCACACTCATCACAGGATTCTTATAAGAGTATGTGCTCAGGAAGCGAACATGTTCATGATGAAGCACAGGCTTGATCTCATTGGAGATGAAATTATTCATTTTATATGTTGCAAACCCCCAGGTGTGCTGCGACCTGCCTTTGCCGGCACAGGTGCAGGAGCTGCAGGAGGTCGAAGGCTTCAAGGAGAGGCTGGAGACCGGCGAGAGTCTGAGCTGGCTCAGTCACTGCACGACTCAGACCTCAGAGTAGTTAGTTCAATATTGAGTAATTCATTTTGCTCATTCGTTCTGCGGAAAGAGCATCACGTTCTGAGGACATATGTGGAACTGCTGCCAAATCGATAGATCAAGAGTATCTCTTGGGATAAAACATCTCATTCAACTCACCATATATAGGTTATGACAAAAAATGTGTCGTTAAACGAGCGTCAGCTTCGCTGCGAGCTGCCTCTGCCGGCCCATGTGCAGGAGCTGTAGAAGGAGGTCGACGGCTTCGAGGAGAAGGAGAAGCTGTATAACTTAATAATAATTTCAGGTAGATTCTGATTGTTTTGCGAGGATTCCTGAACTCATTTAGTGCCTCTCAACCTGACTGATTGTTTTATCGAAATATTTATCAAATGAACAAACCAGTGAGAGTTGAATCCAGGAAGTATTCTTCAGTTTCTTTGTACTCTCCCTACTGTACGGACATTGTTCCATCACACACATTTTCTTCTCGGAATACAGACAGAGTTGTATGAAGAAGACTTGCTGAGTTGCTTGTTCATAGAGCACTTTATAGCTGATTTCAGAAATTAAAAGCTTAGGAGATTCAAGAATCAATCTCTCGCTATAGCCTCCTGAGAACTTGGATCCTATGTGGTTTTGTTCGATATAGTATAAATACAAGAAAAGGTGAAAATAATCACATTTCAATGTTTGAATATGAAATAACACGTAACTCTCCCAATTACTTCGGACTCAAAGTTGTCGATAAACTTCCCCGTCGACTGAAAAACTTCAAAAAACTGAGTCATTTCTAGATTGTTCTGAAATTGTTCTATCCGTCATTCGGTTGCCCCCTTACGAGCAACCCTCAGAAGTCTTAAAAAGTTTCTAAACGAACCTGAATCAATTTCTACTGGCAAAGAAACCCTATACTCCAAAAGAATATTTTTCGGCACACTAGTCCTATTGTTTCTGTCTCTGTACCATCGAAATATTATCATTCTATCTTATCTTATGTCTGTCTCAAACTGTCTAGTTTTGAGCCATCAATCTGACGAATCCTATACATGTAAAAATGTCCAATGGAGGATAAACGTGTTGTATTGTATTGTACCAAATCAGGCTGATTGAAATTCATAATAATATATACGAGTCGTAGGAAGAAGCACCAAAATGAATATTGTTATTCATCTCGAAAACCAAGGATAATATTAACAGAACTCTCACGTCTCTAGTTCACCCTGTAGTATTCATGGTACGTTGTTCTGGGACACCTTTTATATATCCGGAATGAGAGTACTCACTTTTTCCCGTGGAGGAACAGTAGTTTATGAAAAGTTACATTTCATGACATGAGATGAAATGTCAAACTTTTTTCCCGTCACCGGAATAGTAATTTTCCTAACAAGTGCGGAAAGTGATTCTTTCCCGCACGTGACTGCCGTTGACACGAACGACGCGAAGCGGAGTTCGGGCAAGCAGTCGAGTGCGGGAAAGACACTTTCGGCATGAGTTAGGAACAATATTTTTTCTACAAGCGTAGGAAATTGATTGAATCGTTCAATTAATTATTCAAGCAAATAGGAACAACTAACAAGAGATATATATTCTATATCTATTAATTATTAGTAATAGCTATTGTGAACTTACAGTTTGACGCATTATGTTGGTTCATTGCGGAAGCCAGCAGGCCCATTAGGAGTTTGGTCTCTAGGTTCCAGACACTTCTATGAAATGAGCCAAAAATACCTATTCTTCATTCGGTTTTTTCATTTCTCCATTGTTGCACCATTCAATAAAACGCGTGTATAGCTTCTCATACCTTTCTTAAGACTTCGTTGGTGATAACGCATCTGTATCAAATCCCTATAGCTAGAAGTTTTTGATCACATTGTGGCATTTCCACTGAATCGAAAATGACAGTAACGCTGTGTCTGTCACTTCGACAATTTCAAACTTATTTGAGGTTTGATTGGCATGACAAATTGACGTTTCCCGTCAGATCAATCCAAATCTATAGGGGGATTTTTATAATAATCAATTTTTATTTCTCAATATTTCTCAATTTTTACAATAAATAGTGCAATTTGATGGATGATTCTGAACATACATACTTGATACTGCAACAAACAAACTTAAACTTTTATATTCCATCACCAACCACTTATATTACTAGCGATTTTATCATATCTTTGTTTTCCCGCACTAGTGCGGGAAAAAATTTCTCGCACTAGTGTGGGAAAATTTTCCCGCACTGTTGCGGGAAAATGACACTTCCCAAACTAAATTGCGTGCGGGTATAGGGTGAATCACGCACGCTTGTAGAAAAAGAGTTTTACTTTCATGATAATTGCACTATTCGTAGGATAATGTTCATATGTACTTTATCCATGAACATTACGCTCCTCTTGATTACTGAAATTAAACATAAAATATAGAATTTAGTTTAATGAAATATAGTCATTACTTTTGGCTCGGAAAAAGAACCACTAGGCCATAATAGTACAGTATACATCAAGGGACAGAAATGAAAGATTTTTCCCAAGGTGCGATTTGGGACACCAAGCACCATGGGAAAATAGTATTCTACCGGGCCCCGATTCTCGACTTCAGTTGAATTCATTCCAACTGGTAAAGCTTCCCATGTTCGTATTCCCGTGGGAATCTTGAAGAGTATTCTCGACCACGATAGGAATGCTATTTCCCAGTGGAATTGAAAACAGGGTATGTCGGTGATAGTTTATGTGCTCAACCAATCAGATATTGATATTTTCCAGGGATATTCTTCGGTTTGGTTTACAATGATCCAAAGATTTAAGTTGGAAAAAATTTTTTCACAAAGAAGCAATTTCCAAAGTTATTCTTTGCAATTTCTATTCTAATCATGGAAGATAAAAAGAAAAGTGGACATATGTCTGAAAAGCAAAAAAAATTATTAATTTCGTTCATGGAAGCAGAACATGATCTACGGACTGGAAAATTCACAAATGACTTCACACATAAGATCGCGAAAAACAAGTGGATGAACATCACCAATGAACTTAATAGTATTCCAGGAACCCAGAAAGAATGGACCTCATGGAGAAGGGTTTGCATCTATTTTCATATTAGTGAATTTGAAATAATTATCACTCTCTTACAGACTTGGCAGGATCTCAAGAAGAATACTAAGAAGAAAACAAGTGAGATGAAAAAGTATGCAAGAGGTACTGGTGGTGGTCCTTCTGTTCCACCTTTGAAAACTTTCACAGAAGATGATGAGAACATATTGAAACTGCTAGAACCAACAGCTGTAGATGGGGATCATTTAGTGCAGGAATCTGTTGTTCTATTTGTGAGTATTCCTGTATAATAACTGATGTTTTGGAAATGCTTTAAATTATGAGTGACAATAATTTTTATTAATTTCAGGATCATGATTATGATTATACCATCAATAAAGATGATATGGTCTCTGAAATTACAGAGGAAGTAGCCACAGAAAATGAGATCATGCAGGATCAAGAAAATTTGGATTCAAATCAGATTAATAAAACAAACACTAATAAAAAGTGTAAGAGAGTGGTTGCAGCCAAGAGACTCTCAGAATCATTGAAAACGAGCCAGAATATTTCAAGGATTCTGGAGAAAAAAGTTTCCTCCAAAGATAAATATTATTCACAAAAAATAGACCTCTACACTAGAGATGTAGAAGCCAAAGAAAGGATAGCCAAGGCCCTAGAAACCATTGTAGAAAAAAATATTAATATTTTTTAATTTGGATGTGGTAGGGATTTATTTCTGGAATGCATAATGTTTGTTTGACAGATTGTCTTATTTGTACCTGAATAAAATGTTTTTTTTTGTTGTTAGCAGGTTGTTCTTGGACAACTTTTTGTTGACTGAATGTCTATATTGTAACTGAATAAATATTTATTTAATTCTCTTTGAATTTCCTATCAAAACTCTAGTTAGTTTAGTTTTTTCCTATAAAAAATGAGACAAAAATATACCATACATGTAGAAAGCTATTTATCTATAAGTTGGTTCAGTGTGTTGGAAAATCATATATGATGAGATCTACATTCAAGAACAGCACAAGTATCAATTCAATTTATTTCCATAAAAAAAAATCAAGCAAAATAATTTCTAATTATATGATGTTGCAACCTCCTTCCTTCTTGTAAATCAGCATTTCGATTAACTAATTCATCTTCTTCAACTTGCCCTTCAAAATCCATTTCCAAATCAAGTTCCTCATCACCTGGTTCTGGTTCTGGTACAG